ACTCGTTTACTTAATATGAAATTATAACATTTTGTTTTGTTGTGTGATTTCTGCTGCCAGCTCGTTTCCAAGAATATGCCTACATCATGTTAAACACGACTTCACTTTAAACCTTAAAATAAATAACATTTCTGCAATCGTTTAACCTTTACTTGTCATGTAACATTTACTTTGTTTGCCTTGGGCCACAAAAGGTGTTTTCTCCGACATGCTGTGACAGATAATACAACTATAAAATACACAACATAATTACGAAATGAAACAATTTTATTCGTGCGCTGTAATCCAAATCCAAGCCTTTATTTGGCGATCTGCTTCTCCATCCCAAGCAGCGAGTCCAGTGACCGTAAGCAGCAAAGCACTCGCTTTTTACTAATTCAAATGTTGCCGATTCAAACGACAGGTTTTACGGCAGGATAATTGAACGCTCATTGGCTCTCGCCTGCCTTCGTCACAGATTGCGACATGCCGTGTTTCTGGTGAGGTGTGTTTGAATGATGCGCACGCGCCTTCACGAGTTCACGGAGTGGATCGGGAAAATTAAATGGAAACATCGTCATTTGTATTACTTTAGGTACTGCTTTTGACACTTTTGCAATAAATAAATGATTGTAATTGCATTTATCTGTCTGTCATGTTTTATACATTTCTAACTGTTTAGGTTTATAGGTAGGAGTGGGATTAACGACTATAAAAAATGTTTAATTCTATATTGTAACTAAAATGGTTATTTTCCTGTATATTTCGGTCAATTGGGTTTTATATCCCTATAAAATGGGTAGGTTAAGGGGTCTGAAAATCTAAATTGCTTATTAATAAAATGATACGAATGCATATTCGCTATAAAATAGGTACGTTTAGGTTTGGGGTAGGTTAAGGGGTCTAAAATCTAAATCGCTCATTGATAAAATGAGAAAAATGCATTGATACGGATATCTTAATGATATAAAAGATACGTAAATATTTTTAAGTTTTTTAGCTAAAAATACACAGCGATTTGTACGTTTTAAACGTTGAAATGCATCTAAATTGTAAATTTTAGCATCAATAAAAAAGTACAAAAATATGTTTTGTGCTTGTAAATGTTACGCGTTAATACCTATGTGTAAACATGAGACCAGGCTGACTATTTATGACATGACATAAATAAATTGAATGGGAAATTAAAACCAAAATATTTGAGTATTGTGAGGGTTGAAAGGCACTCTATGGTGATATTGACCCATATATGAAGAGTTCAGATGCAAAAGCCTCTAAGTGCCGTTTGAAATGTTCTTCTAAAATTAGCATTTTTCTCAGGCTTCTATGTTTACGTTCAGTTATTTCACTTTAATGTTAATGAAACGAACCTATTTATTGCCATTACAGTGAAATTACTGAACCTACACATAGGAGCCTGAGAAAAATATACTCATTTTAGAAGAAAATTTCAGGGAACCTTCCTGAAACAAGCGATCGCATCGGCCCGAAGCGTCCCTCCCTTCGTTTGCTTGCTGGGAATAATTAATCATTCCTGCCGGCCCTCTTTACTCCGGGCTGAAATGCACTGTCGATTATGCGTCACATCTATACGTTCATTACCTGTCGCATCTGATTAGCTGTAAGGAAGAGCATGAGTCATGCCAGAATGTCAGCAGCTGTAATTACAGCTCGCTGATGCTGCTGTAGTGAAGGTTCTCGAAGGTTAAAAGAGCTCGGCTTACTCATGTTCAAGGAATACAACTCAGACGTAATTATAGTAAAGGTATACAGCACGTGCATGCAATTAATCTGACCTCCGCTCATTTTACATGCCGTACAAATTATATGTTAGAAGAACCTCCGTGCAATCAAATTTAATAATCTAGATGCTTGATTTATTGATCCGAACTTTCTTTATTTTTTTTTACGGTTTGTAAGATCTCTGCTGGTTTCGGAGAGTTCAGAATGTAAGAGCTGGCTTTTATTCAAATCACAAGTTGAGAGTTTAATTGAATTGTCCACAGTGTGCAGGATTTTGATTTAAAATATCAGGAAGATAAATTTATTGATTTGCAATTCAAAGATATTTAGCAACGTTACTCTGTTTCATCCATCCAGAATGATTTAAGACACTACTTGAACAATTTAACATTGTTAACTGTCTATAAGCACTTCAAACATTGATTATTAATGCATGGGAGTACCCTATATGTATTGTGCCATATTTCACTTTTTATGAATTGCAAATAACAGTAAATATCCCCTGATCTCACTGTAGACTATTAATACTTGACCTCCAAATATTCCAGATCTGGCCCAAATAAATGTTTTTTGTTTGTTTTTTTCATGTCACAAAGATGCCCAAGTTATTAGTGATTTTAAATCTGCCCCAATAATTCTAATAGGCTCTGTGTCAAATTAATAGCAATCATATTTTTGCATGTTGATCTGCTGATTAAAACGATTCTGTATGATACACTGTGACAAAGTTTGCTTTCAAATGACGAATGCATTTGCAATTTTGAGGTCAGTATAATCTAGATGTAATACCAGATGTAAATAATTATTATATAGAGCGACCGCTGATATTTAGATAATTTTATGTGAGAATCTGCAATATTTACATTACAATCATCAGCATTTCCTCATATAAATGTCAGCATCTGCACCAAATTGCATAGTTTTGCTCAGTTTGAGTCTGTTTTGCACTCTGTATTCTTATTAAATCAGACAATTTTACCTATAAAAGGTTGATGCTTCAAATATGATACTTTTCCTTTAGATTTTGTCTAAAGGTTAAGTAAACTGTGCAAAAAAAAATCTGATATATATTTCAGATGTCAGGCTTTACTGGGTTAACGATTACAAATCGCCTGTACTGAACAGCTTTATTAAATGGATCGTTCACCTAAAAATCATAGACATGTAATCATTTACTGTATCATAAAGCCATAGATCACATACTCACACTTATTTTAGTCCCTTCTTCATCAGGATCCGGATCTGGAATCAGCTCCATCTGCTCATACAGAACAATAATAAGAGTGTTTAGACTTTCTTGCATTTAAGATCAAATCTGTAGATTATAATGCTGTGGTGACTAGTGTTGTAATGATACTGAAATGTGTAAATGTGATGTCCTAAAAAATATTGATATTCAATACCACAAGGAAATATTGGCACAACATTCAGGGCATAAAATGTGAACAAAAGCTGAAGTTAATTTAGATTTAACCATAATGAAAGTAATAATACATAATATTAATAATATAATGATGATGATAACAATAAATAGTAGTATAATAATATAATAGTAGTAGTAATGGTACATTATTATTGTAATACAATTGCAATGTCATTCATTCATTTCTGGTGGAAAACTGCAGGGAAGCCTTTTAAGTTTCTGTGACAACAGGTTTCCAGACACATTTCGTTATAAATCTAGTGCAGTCATCTGTCCACAAAATTGTTGACAATTATACAAATGTGGAGATAAAGCAAAACTAGTACTTGTGTTATCAAAAATACATGTTAAACTCACTAGACATGCAGAGACTGTAAACCAAGACATCTTAAGTGATGTGCTTTTCTCTGAAACACAGTGCAACAGACTATATACTTACTGTACACACACACACACACACACACACAC